CCGTGCATTGGTGGTCAGTGGGAAGAATTCCCCCCCACTGCATTGGTGGTCAGTGGAAAGAATTCTCCTCTTTACAGTGGTGGGCTGAATGCAACCTATATAGACAGTGAAAAAGATCATTAGTGTCATGCCACTGCACTAAGTGGCACTGGATCTGTCTCTGCATGCTCTCTCCCCCGGCTCTCTCTCCTCTCCCTCTCTTCTCATTGGGCCCCCCATGGAAGAAGTGGCCCCCAGGTCATTTGAGTTTGAGACCCCTGCTATATGCAGATAATATCTTTAATGATTGTATTCAGTAAATGTTTCCTTTTATTTCACAGGCCCTTATTTATATGATCTCCCACACTCACATTTTGACCATATAATCATCAGGCAAAATAGGCAGTAAAAAGGTGTTGGCACCACCCAGGGGCAGGCAAGCCCATAGGAGGACAAGCCAGCTCCTCAGGCTTAACACGTTATATGCCAGTGAGTGCAGAAACATCCCCACCATTCCAGTGCTACTGCTCACCTTCCTAGCGAAACTGTTATTCCTACTCCACACGGCCAGGGGGTAGGCAACCTCGGCACTGCAGCTGAGCTGAAAATACAAGTCAGGACTGTGGCTGTCAGTCTTGCAAAGCATCATGGGAATTGTAGTTCCACAACAACTAGAGTGCCAAGGTTGCCTACCCCTGCTATAGGCAACACTAGTCCTTTGCTCTCTGATTTGTGTTTTTGCCACAGATTCCGCACTACAGGTCCTCTTTACCAAGGGTGAAGGAAACTTGATCACCAAGAGGTGTGATTTGGATAACAAAATTTTGAATGGACAGCAGAAGTCTGTCTTACACGTGACTGGAGGGGAGTCCACTGCAGCAGTATTGTGCTCGGATGCCGGATCAGCCATATAATACTTCAGAATTTTATTTACATTTTTCTCCCACAACATAAAAAAAAAGAAGAAATGTATATAAAAAGATACACATCTGGTCGAGGTATTTCATCTTGTTTTAATTTATAACTGTTTGAAATCCAGTGACACTGACACACATACATACAACTACCACGGCCCGCCCCCTCCCTGTGCAGCGAGAGGGGGCGTGGCTTATGTTTGACCTGTCTTTTGTAAAATACAGTACTAATGAGTGGATTGCTACCTGCATGCATCCACGGCTGACACTACAGTGATCTCCATACTGTAACTCAAACAGTACAGCCATAAAAAGAAAAGAAAAAATATATTTATATATAATCAAAAGTCATAATTCTTTGAACCTATCCTGAGAGGCCTAGTGGTTCGGCCAGATAGTTAATGTTTGTTTGTTTGTTTTTCCAAAGATGCTACAGGCGGTACGTCCCTAGAACTCCTCAGTTATATAAATATGGAAGAATTTCATTTTGTACAGTCAACTACATTTCTGGCTACCCGTTAGCGTCCTACAGAAAGAGAAGGGCGTATGCTGGGAGGGAAGGAGGGGGGTGGAATAGGCGTTCCGGTGGCACGCAGTGGAATGAGTCGGCGCGGTCATAGGAATGTTCTGGCAGGTGGGCGTCAGTCGTCTTCAGTGCCGCTTCCTGAGCGTTCCTAGAAAGATTAGAACAAGCACATTAGCAATTCATTACATTACACATCTAAATACATTCAAGCCCCTCAAATGTTGTAGGATAGTAACAAAGGGGTCAAGACACCCCTAAAAAAGGAAGGGGGGGAGGAGTTAGTAGAGGCATACAGAAAAGGCTCCAATGTCCAGGAAACGGAATATAAAATCCTTACTAGGTGGTACAGTGGTACCTCGGTTCACAAACTTAATTTGTTCCACGATTCTGGTCGCGAACCGAATTGGTCGCAAACCGAATCAAACTGCGATCAGACCGCGATTGACTAGAGGAAGCCACGACCAGTGTCAGAGCGGGGAAGATGGCTGTGGTTGTGTTAGTCACCCGAAGCGGAGTTCGGAAACGGAAGCAAAATTTTGCCGAACTTCCTGTCCGCGAACCCAATTGTTTGCGTACAGAAGCGTTCGTGAACCAAGGTACCACTGTACTTTGTCCATACCACACTCCATAAGATGTTTCCTCAATCTCCCCCGACCAGCTGGAGGTGCAGACTAGAAGTCGGCTCCATCTTACACATCTTTTGGTCCTGCCCACGCCTCAGAGTTTTGGGATGCAATCACCCGAATTGTCAAACAATTCACAGGGATCTCCTTGATGGATACCCCGGGCAGCTATGTTGCTTCACCTATCTCAGCTCTTCAAGACCATCTATCGCAAATCTCTTCTGATCCATCTGATCAATGCAGCTACATAGTTACATAGTATTTGGGGTTGAATAAAGACACAGGTCCATCAAGTCCAACTATTGTGTGTATGCATTTATGTTTGAGCAGGTGTGTGCGTGTGTATGAGTCCATGTGAGATTTTGCTCTTAGCTATACCTGTACCCTTGTATGTTATGGTCTCCGAGGAACTCGTCCGGGACTTTCTTGAATGATTCCACACTCTTAGCTGAAATCACTTCCTGCGGCAGCGAGTTCCAGACCCTAACCGCTCTAACTGTGAAGAACACCCTTCGCCCTGTGTGTTGAAATTGTTTTCCCACCAATTTTTGGTGGTGCCCTCTGGTCTTTGTTACAGAGCTAACCGTAAAGAGTTTGTTAATAATGTTGCTGTCACCATTGAACAGTTTATACAGGAAAATCAGGTCCCCCCTTAATCTCCTAACCTCCAAAGAGAACATATTTAATTTTAACAACCTTGTTTCATTGTTCAGGCCCTCCAACCCCTTAATGAGTTTGGTTGCCCTCCTCTGGACTTTTTCCAGCTCAAGGACATCTTTTCTTAGTATCGGTGACCAAAACTGGACCGCATACGCCAGATGTGGCCGAACCAGCGATATGTAAAGTGGCAAAATTATAGACTTGTCCCTGCAATACATTCCCTTCTTAATACAGTACAGGACTCTACTTGCTTTGTTTACAGCAGCCTGGCACTGCGAGCTGTTCTTCAGTCTGCGGTCTATAATGACCCCCAAATCCTCAGTTTCCGACTTCCCTAGTGGCATACCCATAAGTGTATAGTCCATTTGCCTATTTTTAACTCCGAGGTGCATTACCTTACATTTATCGACATTGAACTTCATCTGCCATACAGTTGCCCACTCCCCGATTTTATCCAGGTCCTCCTGTAATGTTATAATGTCTAAATCCGTGTCTATTACCCTCCCAATTTTTGTATAATCAGCAAACACTTAGTCTTAGTCATAGGGGCAATCTCTTCCCACTGGGTTATGTCCGGGTCTTTGTCTCTCCCTATGTTTTAGCCTTTGTCTTAGCTTCAGTCCATGTTTAGGTTGTTGTCTGTGTTCTCTCTTGTGTTCACTTGTCAATAGCTTTATATTCGTGTCTGAACCCTCGAGTATAGTGTTTTCTATACCCTACCCTCACTTTTCCCTCCTTCCTTTTTGACCCTTCTTCCCCTTATCCCTTTCTCTGATCTTCCTTATGCGATTTCAAAGTGGTTAGCCGATGGACAGCGTTCACAATTTGTAATGGTATCCTGAAAATCTCACACGGACTATAGATACGTTGTCATGCTCATTGTGCTCCACAATTCTTCAGTATCATTCTTTAGCTTTAGTGTTTGCTTTGTCCCCCCCCCCCTTCTCTTTTTTGGGCTATACGTGCCCTACTACACATAGCTGTTCTGTACATACATCTGTGTGCATGTACCCGTTTGTCTGCTACCTAGGTTTTTATTGTGCTTGGTTTGTTTTTATGAAAATCTAAAAATGGAAAAAGAAAGAAGAAAGAAAAAGGCCCCAAAGGGCAATTTCTCTTAAAGTAACACTAAACTCAGGCGTTAAATCTTAAAAATACATTCAAGTACCTTAAGGCCTCATTCACACTGTAATCGGCCGGCACGTACAGCTCCGTGTTGCGTGCATGGCCGTATCGAGCAAACACTGCCAACAGGTTTGAAAGCCACTTACACAATTCTAATCTAAAGTGCCTCCTAGTGGTTGCATGTGGCACTGCAGAGAACTAGACCTGGTCTGCATTATCTACACACCCAACTCACCTCCTCCAGCTCCTCCTCAGTGTCATCATCGCTGACCACAGGCTTGGCCCTGCAACCCCTGCTGGTGCGCCTGCGCCCCTTCATACGTTCCTGCATTTTCTCCTTACGACCCAGCTTAATCTTCACTTTAACAGACCGAGCTACAAGACAGAATGAGACGAGAAGAAGCAGACTTTTATAAGAATGTTTTCAAATTTTAGAGAAGGAAAACATTTTAACGAAACGAGGGAAGAGTTGCACTCATCCTAGAAGTCTATACAATATTGTCAAATAGTGCCGCAGATTTGGACATTGGCAAGAAAGTTACAGCTAGCTCCATAAATTCAAACCCCCATATAATTTATAAAGCATTCTCACACTCAGATTCGGAGCCTTCCTCCTCTCCTTCCTCCTCTTCTTCACTTTCATCTCCTTCACTATCCTCCTCCTTCTCGATCTTCTGCCTCACACTGGTGAAGACCGACTGAAGCACAATGGAGTCTTCATATATCTAAATAACGGAGAGAAAAGTTGAATACAGAGAAAGTGGGTCAAACTCAATTTAACAATTTTACAAGTAATTAAAATCAAAGCACCAGGCGGCAGTAACTGTTTGTGGCCATCAAAGGACTGGAAAGGCAACATTAGAAAAAGCCCAGAGAGCCAAATAGGACTCTGTATCAAGAGCACCTATAGTAACCCACATAATGCTGGGGCTCAGGAGGGGACTGGAGGTAGACGCTGTAGTTTATTGTGCCTGTAAAAAAAACTTTTACACATGTTTTGGACTTGTGTTAGACGTGTAAACCGCTAATCTTCTGTCCATCCATACCGTGTATTATCACGGTACCTCTACATGGTTACATGGACAGGCACATTACCTCTATGGACTTAAAAGCATTTTGCACCGCTTACAATTAACTTATACGCCTTACAGTGGCTATATGCCATGGGACGAAAATGGGGCTCATCACTATCCTAGAATATCCAAAACTCTGTAAGCTGCGGGCTACGGCTTTTCTGCCCTTTGTACCAGATTGTTGAATCTAAACCAGTGGTTCTCAACCTGTGTAACCTCAGGACCCACATTTGTCCTTGGTCATTAAGTCACGACCGAAGGTGCACTGCATGGACCTCACGGCATTGCGGTACCGCTCGTTCCGGTGCAGACGACTGAACTGAGGGGAGGGAGGTGCATTTGGGGTGCCATTCAAATGAATGGCAAAGCAATGCACCCCCCGCACCAGAATGCATAGTAGGCAATTGTGTTGTACAGCGCGTTAATTTCACAGGACTGTTCGATTAACGCACTGTACTAGTGTGAACGGGCTCCCAAAAACACTGACAGACACACACAATCGCTCGCACAACCACAGACACAATCTCACACACTCCAAAAAAAATACATATATATTTCCTATTCCTTTTTTTTTTTAGATCCACCCAGTCTCCCTACCTCACGAGAACTGGAGTGGATCTTCAGCCTGGGGTCCAGTGTGGGCTGCTGTGCTGTGACGGAGCTCCATCCATATATGCTTTGCTTGTACAGTTCCTTTGTGCGCCCTGTAGGTGTCCGGAGCCAGAATGTGATGTCACTAGTCCAGGCACTGCTAAAGGACATGCAAGGAAGCTGTAAGCAATGCACATATGGATGGAGCTCCCTCGCAGCCATAGCTCCAACCCACCCCAAGCTGACCCTTGGCGCCGGGCAACATATTTTGAATGGCTGCTTGGTGTGAGAACTGACAGTGATGCACTAAGGGGAGGCTGAGAAGCCCCTCACCTAGAAAAGTAAAAGCCACGCAGTGACCCACTAAACACAGGGTCGTGACCCACTTTTGGGTCACAACCCACCAGTTGAGAACCAAGGATCTAAACTGACTATAGAAAGACTTTGGTACCAGCTTCTATTTACCAAGCTGTTCTGCTCAACACCATTTCGTTCCCAGCTTCTGTGCTCTACATGTCCGGCATCTCCAGATACCGGTGCTTACATGGCCATATTGTCACAGCAGATCGCCGGTTCATTATACCAGGACTTACCAAAGACCCTTCAAGGTTGAAGGTCTGAGCGTTCTGGCACAGCAGCATGACGTCTTTTTCCAGGTCATTTAGACTTCGGTACTTGTGATTCCTGATCCTTTCCTGGAGAAGAAAGAGGGTATATTAGCCACATAGTGGTGTAATTACTCGCATCAGAAGTCTGACTACATCTAAAACGCTTGCGCTTTACCTTGATCTTTCTGAAGTCCACAGGTTTGCGAATCAGTTCATAATACTCAGGCAGTTCTTTGCGGGAAGGAAGTTGAATGAAGACCTCGCTCAGCTGACGTCCTGTGGAGCTAATTCGGGGAAGAAGAAAAAAGAACAAAGTTAAAGTGTATGTAGAGTCAAAAACTAGAATTCAGCTATTCAAAAAACAGTGCTTTTGATTCAGCCCCTAGATTTCTCGTTACAGACACCTGTTTATCCTGCCAGTTTATAGGAGCAGGCATTACTTCATGTTGCAGGGTGAAAACGCTGTATACATTACATGCCCAGTCTCGCCCCTTAACCTTAGTGATTGACACCCTACCCAGCTCTAGATGACTACATCAGTGGACGAGAGCAAGCTCTGAGTTCACTCTCCGCCCACAGTGCTTGCCCAGCAGGATCTATGAAGAAACGGGTCTCGGGACTACAGAAAACCATCCAAAACAGGTACTTATAAGATGTACCCTTTCCCTATATTAAGAGGTATTGTCCCTGTACTGGGTTTATTACTCACTTGTCCTTCTGTTTTAACCATCTGCCTTTCCATCATATTGAATGGCCCAAAGATGACTTTGTTGACCTCTCACCTGTCCTTGTACTTGATGACTGCATCCACAGTCTTCTTCATCTTCTTGGTGAGGTTTGGAGGGTTGGGGGAAAGCTTCTCAGCTGGCGGTCTTCCTCTCTTCTTCTTCTTGCCCTCGTCATCTCTCTCTCTGTTCCGCGTGCTGGTGGTGGGTGTTGACATTCCGGGATCTATATCTCGCTTCCGCTTGCGGGTGGTCTTCTTGTGACGTACCTCCTCCTCAATTTCATCCAATGTACCCTCTTCAATGGCCTGCTTAGAGAGAACCACCACATTTATGACACTTGTACTTGAGCAGCAAAATGCTATGAAGGAGTGCAGGGGAAGGTTGTCTTTGTACTTGGCTCTTCTAAAGGATTACTATTTTTCTGCATTGTGGAAGCAGCATGTGTTAGTCCTACTCTAGCCCTGCCTATGAACATGTTTGATTGTCACACAGCATGGATAGTTTGAGGGGAGCATTAAGGGTTACCAGCTAAAGACCTCAGAACTCATCAACACATCCAAACCTAGGGCCACCATTGGAATTTATGCCTCACATGATCTAAAGGAAACCTGTCCTGAGAGAATCAAGCAGGCGTTTTTTTCCTTCTGAATATAGTGCCTGGTCATCAAGCTGATCCTCTGCTTTCAACAGCCTGAGTCGCTGTCTACCTTGAGCATTATGGCCATTTTACGTCATTAAAAACTATGCAGAGGGTGGTTTCCAATCAAACAGGTGCTGCCCAATAGACACACAGTGAGATAAGAGGATTGGCAAGAAACCTGACCCTGCACATTCATGGAAAATACGGCAACACATACAAAATATACATAGAAATAAGGGGCGGAACCCAGAAGACGGATGCCGGCATCGGCCGGAGGACACAGCGGGGATCGTGGACAAGGTAAGAGACGCTACGCTGTAATCCCGAGTGTGGTTCGGGGTTACCGCTTACGCTACTGAAAATGAACCCCGAGCCACACTCGGGAATACCGCCAAGGAGGTTAAAATCAATTTTCACTTGTATATTGTAAGAAACAAAAATCAAAAAAAATCATCGTTTTCTTTTATTGAAAAGTTTCAGTTAATGAAGTCATGTAACCTATTTGCATATGGGAAGGGATGGGCTGAAACCCTGCGGTCACTCTTTACCAACAATCTGCAAAGGCCAACTCCCTTGTAAATTAAAATTTTTCTTAATAAATCCTTAAAATCAATGTTCTATTTCCTATGTGTGTCAGGTGCTTTGGCAATACTGAAGCGATGTAGCTGCCTGGCAAAGACCAGGTATAAAATGCACCCGGAAGTGTCAGATACCAGCGGTGCCTCTGAAGGAGAGCAAAGATTTATCACTCCACCTGCTGCTAAAATAACGGAATTCTCTTCATTTTTAGGATCTCTAAAAGACCCCTCACGTACCACTCCACCTCCATATACGCAAGTTCCACATCTAGCCAGACAGATTTCACCTACTGGTAGAGCTGCAGACCATCCATAAAAACATTAGAGCTCTACAAATATTATTGAGCCTGAAAGTTTTCTGAGCTCTGCAAAGAGCAGTGCATGAATAGCATTGAAGTTTCCATAGATGCTGCCTGCAGCGAGGACCAAAAGTGAATGGCATTTCTATTTACACTGCTCAAGTCCTCCCCATACCTGTGTTATGCATCATCACCAAATAAGCATGATAACTACAACCAACAAGAACACACCTTCAGCCATTGTTTCTCTGTGAGAGAGTCACTGTAATCCACCTCCTTCCTATTACGGGAACCCCGACCAAACATCTTCTCTTCCTCCTCTTCACAGGTAAGGCGCTCCACCTCGGCATCATCTTTAAGGATCCAAGATGGCAGCTCATCCTCCTCCATCAGACGAGGTTTGCGCTTGGGGTTACGGGCTTCCTCTCGCCGCCTGTCCAAATCCATTCGCTGAAAGGAGAAAAGCAGCCATAAGAGAAGCTTACAGTTATCACACAAACTCAGTAACTTAATGTCACGTATGGAAACTTTTGTGATTAACCAGTCATGTGACTTACCATGAACAAATCAAACTCCTCCTCATGTCTTGCAATCATCTGATTCACAGTCTCATCATCAGGTACCTCATCTTCCTCCTGCACAATCAAGTGTTGTTTACTGAATAATGAACTCTATCAGAGCAGCACAAATGGAAAAAAAGAAAAAAAAATATGTTGAAAGTAAAAGGAGAAAATTGACAACAAAAAAAAAAGGGGGGAAATTGAAATTTGAAAAAAAGCAGAAGACTTAAAGACAGGAAAGAAAAAGGAGGGGTGGGGAAAAGGAAAGGAAAAGGAAAATGAAAGGAAAAGGAAAAGGAAAGGAAAAGAAATAACAAGGATAGGCTATAAGGAAAAGACAGAGGGTGGATAGGTAGTAGGTAGCAGGGGCAAAGGGAGAAAGAAAGGCAGTATGAAGGAATGGGGTGTCCCTGACCTCATCCTGCTCCTCATGCTCCAGAATGGCCTGCAGGAAAGCCTTCCTCTCATGGCTGGAGGATTTCTGATCAAACATTCCAGCCTGAATGACCTTCTGATCCACATTCAGCTTGTACTTGGCTGCTGCCAGGATCTTCTCTTCCACACTGTTCACTGTGCACAGACGCAGAACACGCACTTCATTCTGCTGTCCAATGCGGTGAGCTCGATCTTGGGCCTGCAAATCCTGTACAAAAAAGTGAAGACAGTATTAACAAGTCTGTTCCCAGATGCTTACCTGCCACTTAAGTTACCTATACACACAGATGGCTCAGTTGCCCAGTCTGCCTGCGTTTGTTAGATCAGGTCTATGGGTCCTGCCATTGCCTTCCTGCTCTCAGGTGGTTCCACTGGGCAGGTGAGAAGGCCTGACCTGACTGCAATACACTCTCCATGCAAAAAGCAGTGACAGTGCACCTTTCCTGTTTTTCCCTCCTGGCTCTATAGAAGTAACTTTTGAACTATATAGAAGTATACTGTATAAGTAAACATGGTGCTGGCCTCAAGCTTATTGGCATGGAGATCAAAATTGTGCTTTCACACCTGGTTACCCTCTACAATCTACTGGCAGATCTACAGTTCTAAACGCCAGAAGATTAACAAAACTGAACAAGTGCAGGTCTCTCCTGTATACCTGATGTGGGTTCCAGTCACTGTCAAAGATGACGACTGTGTCGGCAGACTGCAAATTGAGGCCTAAGCCCCCAGCACGAGTACTGAGCAGGAAGATGAAGTATTCTGATGTAGGTTCATTGAAGGTCTTCAATAACATACCACGGTCTTCTGCTTTAGTAGTTCCTGTGGAAATATTAAAGGATGAGACACTATATAATCGTACTATGTTATTGATTTTATTACCAGAGGCATATCAGGCCCTTTTTAAAAGGAAACCCTTCGTTAAAAGGACTTTTCTAACATAACAGGGACAGATTTTCATATAGAAGAGCCCTACTGTATGGCTTGCCTAATGTTGCCATCGCCATTACGCTGCCTTACCTAGTACAGCCTTCACTCGGTTCTATAAGAATATGGCCTCAGGATTGGTTTAGCTTTGTTCTGTGCTCCAGGTACCACTACTAGACCACACAGCCTGGTTCCAATCTCCAAATAAGAAAGCGAGCCTGTGGTTTGGGCACAATGTAGAATGTAATTCGCATGTTGGACGTAGTTTTATATGTGCAACTGGACCCCCAATCCTGTTAAAGCAACAACATGCACCAAATGTACCCGGAATAAGGGAATGTTTGATAATCTTGCTGCATTTCAATAATACGGTCATCGCCTAGGCCCAAGCATCATCTCCCAAGGGTGTGGGTGAAAAGTCCTCCAGCAAGATGGCCGCCGCAACACAAAGTACCAATCGAAGAAAAAGGTATGGCAAGTCAATATAGACGAATAGATCAACTGCACCAAGCCCGCAGGCAATAATAGTGACATATTCGTTGGACACAGATTTTGGGTACCGATTACACAGTACAGATCCTCTTTCAGATGCCCTGTCACCTAGGACACAAAACTTAAATGGAACTGTCTTTTTGTGCAGAGGTGTACAGCCAACAAGGGCAGGAGCAATGTCTTTTGCACTCCATCTTAATGTCCATCCTGCTAGGTGGCAGAACTGGTGGACACAGACCTGGTAGAGGTCTGTGTCCACCAGTGAACCTTTCTGCTATATTCTGTATATTCTGCTCTGATAATCTCCTTAAACAAATGAATCGATGAACATAAAACCTCCTTTAAACCGAACTGTTCATTAGAATAATGTAACTTACACTATGTTGCCAAAAGTATTGCGACACCCCCTCCAAATCATTGGATTCAGGTGTTCCGTGAAATTTACTTGTTACTAAGTATTCCACGGTCAACTGTTAGTGGTTTTATAACAAAGTAGAAGCAACTGGGAACACCAGCAACTCAGCCATGAAGTGGTAGGCCACGTAAAATGACAGAGCGGGGTCAGCGCATAGTGCACAGAAGTCGCCAACTGTTTGCAGAGTCAATAGCTACAGACCTCCAAACTTCGTGTGGCCTTCAGATTGGCACAACAGTGCGTAGAGAGCTTCATGGAATGGGTTTCCATGGCCGAGCAGCTGCATCCAAGCCTTACATCACCAAGTGCAATGCAAAGTGCCGGATGCCTTGGTGTAAAGCACGCCGCCACTGGACTCTAGAGAAGTGGAGACGTGTTCTCTGGAGCGACCAATCATGCTTCTCTGTCTGGCAATCCGATGGACGTGTCCGGGTTTGGCGGTTGCCAGGAGAACAGTACTTGCCTGACTGCATTGTGCCAAGTGTAAAGTTTGGTGGAGGTGGGATTACAGTGTGGGGTTGATTTTCAGGCGTTGGGCTTGGCCCCTTAGTTCCAGTGAAGGGAACTCTTAAGACATCAGCATACCAAGACATTTTGGACAATTTCATGCTCCCAAATTTGTGGGAACAGTTTGGGGAGGGGGGAGCTTCTTGTTCCAACATGACTGCGCACCAGTGCACAAAGCAAGGTCCATAAAGACATGGATGGGGGAGTTTGGGGTGGAGGAACTTGACTGGCCTGCACAGAGTCCTGACCTCAACCCGATAGAACACCTCTCGGATGAATTAGAGCGGAGACTGCGAGCCCGGCCTTCTCATCCAACATCAGTACCTGACCTCACAAATGCACTTCTGGAAGAATGGTCAAACATTCCCATAGACACACTTCTAAACCTTGTGGATGCCTTCCCAGAAGAGTTGAAGCTGTTATAGCTGCAGAGGGCGGAGCCAACTCAATACTGAACCCTACAGACTAAGACGCCATTAAAGCTCATGTGAGTGTAAAGTTCGGCGTCCCAATACTTTCGGCAATATAGTGTATGTTCGCGTATGAAGTCTGAAACCCACACAGTATTACTTCATATCACCACAGAATGCATAGAGGCTCATTAATGTTTTTGCAGTCTGGTTTAAGTTACTTATCTATTTACCATCTAATCTGAGGTATTTAAATCCGCGATAAGCAAAATAATCTTCCATGATGGTCATGAGGGTGGTCATCTGACAGAAGAGCAGAACTTTGTGGTTGGTGGCTCGCAATTTGGGAAGGATGCGGTCAAGGAGCTCGAACTTTCCAGAAGAACGGTAGAGGTCCTGCCTGCAAGGCACAGAAGGCAAAGCTTAAGCGGAGTTGTCGGCTTGCGATAATGAACAGTTATTTCCTTCTTAAGGCATCTTTCTTATCAGTAGAAATTAAGAGAAAAGTACTCACCCCTGCACAATGCCTCCTGTGAAGCCTAAGTGTTCGGAAAAGGATTCCTGCAAAGAAACAATGCCACAAAGTTTAGTGCCCTCTAGGGAAGAAAAGTAACAACATTTTCTTATAGGGAGGGAAGCCTTGAAGATGCTCTCTAGAAAACATAACGCAAATAGGACCTTGGCAGAAAAAGAACCCTGGGCCTCAGAGGTACAAGGCAGCAGTGCTGATCACTGAGCCAAGAGCAGCACAAGTGGTTTAGCTCACCTCTATATGCTGGAACATGTAAGGGTGGTTGCAGATCTTCCTAAGCTGCATGATAGTGTTCATCAGGGTCTTCGTACCACCTTTCCCCTGCAGGAGGAAAAAAATAAATATACATATTAATCTACAGAACAAGTCACCACGGGGGAGCAGTAGCAGAGAGAGTTACTGCCAACAAGCTTACCTTCTTATCTTTCTCTGAGCCATCTGTAAGGAGAACCCCCTTGGCCTGCATATGTCTGTACAGAACCCTTTGTAATGCAGACATGTCGCATTTAATGACATACTCAACCTAGAAGGAAAAAAAGATTCTCATGAAGAAACGGTAACACACTTATACAAAGAGAACAACAAGACTTTAAATCACAAGTAAGCCTTTAACATGTCCAGCCAATCAAGTAAGCCTGCAAATATATAACCTTTCACTCTTTCCTTTCTCCTGCTGTCCTGTGAGTGCCGTGATATGATTGTCTAATATCCTGCCTCTTGAAATATTATTCTATATCCTAATAAAGCTGAATGTAGACAGAGCTCCCTGCATATGGTTATTAAAGAGAGTTCTCCGCATTCTTTAATATGTGCCTAGAACGTAAATAGCTGACGATGGGCAAGGATGAGCAAAGACCATGTATATCAAAATGGATGTCGTCTTTCATATAACCTGGATAAACATATCTATTCATATCTATCTAATGCCATTATCCCATGGAATTATACTTTCTGTATATGCTTCCAGACAACCTGCCCTTATACAGAAATAATGAGGGCTGCTGGCACCGGCTCAGCCAAAGTACAGAAAACAGCAGTTTAATATTCCATCACGAAGGTGCATTTGATCTCAAGACGTACTGCATATCAATCACAACGCCTGCGATCAGCTGCGTTCTCGGTGCTCTCAAATTAGGAATGATTCATGAAACCTAGTAATATAGATCCAGGGCTACCAGACATGTATAGTAATATAGATCCAGGGTTACCAGACATGTATAGTAATAAAGATCCAGGGCTACCAGACATGTATAGTAATAAAGATCCAGTGCTACCAGACATGTATAGTAATATAGATTCAGGGCTACCAGACATGTATAGTAATATAGATCCAGGGCTACCAGACATGTATAGCAATATAGATCCAGGGCTACCAGACATGTATAGTAATAAAGATCCAGGGCTACCAGACATGTATAGTAATATAGATTCAGGGCTACCAGACATGTATAGTAATATAGATCCAGGACTACCAGACACACGTATAGTAATATAGATCCAGGACTACCAGACACACGTATAGTAATATAGATCCAGGACTACCAGACACACGTATAGTAATATAGATCCAGGACTACCAGACACACGTATAGTAATATAGATCCAGGACTATCAGAAACACGTGTAGTAATATAGATCCAGGACTATCAGAAACACATACAGTCATTTAGATAAAGATAAAGTACTATATACATCTAGCAGCTATAAATAGTTGATTCATGAAACCTGCCATGTCGCTTCCATGAAACAATCAGATCTCAGTTGTGATTATCTCAATTTACCTTTTCTGGCAGCTGAGCTTCCACTTCTTTCTTAAGCCTTCGAAGCAAGAAGGGACGGAGGACTTTGTGAAGACGACGAATAATTAGGATCGTTTCTTCTTCATTTAAATCCACCTGAATTAAAAGAGACAAACAAAATTGTGTTGAGAAAATAACTCCTTATTCATGGAAGGATTAAAACTGTAAGAACAGGATACAACTAATATCTGACCATAACAATAGAATTTCTGGACTTATCATAATATTCTTTTTCTGGTTCATTGACTGACACAGCTGTTGCCTGAAGAGTAACTATATACAAAAGGGGTTATAGTGCCTTCTAAAGGAGTAGGATGCTAGGTGCACAATAAAACTAAACAGGCAGCTAGGAGGACAACTCTTAGGTGGCCTAAAAGAGAACTATGGCCAAACCTTATTTGGCGTTCGCGCTCTTTTGGGCCACAGGGGGACATTTACTAATATCCTCCTGTGACCCAAAACATAGCATTGCCATATAGAAAGCTATTGCCCGCTATATTCTGACAGCACAGAGCTGCACTGCAGCTGAAAAACATCCCGACAATATTGTTCGGATCCCTCCCGCCCCCTCCCCTGCCTGTCCCTCCAGTCAGCGCTGGAGGAACAGAGAGGGGAGGGAAAAATCCCTGCGGGGAGTAGGGAGCGGTGACCAACTTGGCCTGCAAAAGCCCCTGAGCCTCCCAAAATCACCCAACAGAGACTGGCAGGTAGGGGACAATAAAAACAGGAAAACGGATGCAAAGGCAGCTAGGAAGACTGTCGGTGCCACAATTATGGACACAAGCCACTCCTTCACCTTGAACCTAAAATGGTAGCTAGAAGGATGGCTTCCATAGCTGGCTTAAACACCACCCTCCCCAGAGAGTGTCAGTTTTACGACCTAGCATTAAGGAGTAAAGACCTGTTTATTCTTCCAGCTTGTTGTATTACTGTTTTTCTACTACTATCAAGCCGCTGGCTGCCGAATAGGTTGGAGTTGGCCCTGTCACTTAGGCCGATACAAGTTTTGCAGAATAGAGCTTTTTAGACAGCCTAGATCCAAAAATCTGGGTTCTGTGGCCAAAGTGAAATGTTGCAACACGAAGCCCAATGTAGTCTGTCATTTGTGACCAGTGCACTAACAGTACACACAGGCTCCCGCTGTCTGAGGTACAAGGCAAGGTTGACGTAGTAAGTACTGATCCAAAACCAAGCAAACACTAATGCTTATTGGCTAGACTGGAGGGACTACAAGGATCAAACTCCAACCTCTCCGACAGTCAGCGGCTCGATAGTAGAAAAAAAATAGTACAGCAAGCTGGAATAACAAACAGGTCTTTACTCCTTAATGCTAGGTGTAAAACTGACACTCTGGGGGGTCGTGGATACGCCAGCTACGGGAGCCATCCTTCTCGCTACCGGTTTAGATTATTTGTGTGTACCTAGGGTCTATACTCCTGTAGATGGCATTAGAACTCACTTGAATATGGTTGACCTTCAACCAACAGCTGTGAACGAAAGAGAAAAGGCCTTTTTCTTTAATATCTGATTTTCTCCAAAGAAACCAGGCTCAAAATTCACAGATTATCTGAAGCCTAAACTTCATCTTTTTTGTTTTGGATAAAGTAGAGAACTAAAATGTTGGATTTTCTATTACCTACTCTCCCTGTGAAAATGATCACCAAAACAATAGAGAGAATGCATCTTCCCAGCAGGAATACAGATTTTAGGTTTCTCAATGTATAGATAAGAATTTGTTACAGAAAGCTGGTCCAAAATGTTTCCACATGTCAGGCCCAGGTTCTTATACAATTAAATACCTTTTCTCCGGTCATTGCAAACGGAGCGTTGAACCACTGCTCAAACGTGCTGCAGCTCTTGAAGATAGTTGGCAGCAGGAAGTTCAGAAGAGCCCACAGCTCGGGCAACTTGTTCTGTAGTGGGGTACCAGTGAGAAGCAGACGACGAGGAGCCACATAGTGAGTATTAAGGACTTGAGTTAGCTTGCAGTGATGGTTCTTCATACGGTGACCTTCATCTACAATCATATACTTCCAACGGATCTAGAAGGCAGAACCCAAAGCTGAGAACCAGAAGCATGACTATTCATAGATCTTTTCAGATTCAGTAATGAGGGATTGCTCTTACTTTGGCCAGGATGTGCTTGTCCTTAATGATATATTCATATGTAGTAAGCAGAACATTGAATTTTCCACTGCGGAGTATAGGGACGAACGCACGACGAGCAGCAGGGGATCCCTAGAGAAGAAGGTATAGATTACCGAGAGCACTGCATTGTGGGTGCATAACAGGCACGAATGATGTATTGAACACAGTTCAATCTCCCTTATTTACCTTGTATGATACTTTCACCACAGATGGTCCCCACTTGTCAAACTCATAAACCCAGTTGGAGAGTGTCCTGAAAGGAAAGTTGAAAAGGATTAAAGTCTGAGCAGAACGGTATAGGCCTGTAGCTGGTCTCAGAAACAAAGCTATGTGATAAGAGCTTTATTAAATTGCAATAAAACTATGCCTGGTGTGTGCTCTTTTTAGGGGAGAGCTTGAATGCACTGGACTGCGGTGCAATTGATGGGAATATTCGTTAGGGAAGAATACTTTAGACCCCTGGTACCAAACCAACTGTTTGAAGGCCACATTATGCCCTTTGGTACTTGTTCTGCAGGACTTGAACCCCAGAAGTTTATTTTGGGAGTGGGAGCATGGCTTTGCATAAGGATAATAGCAGTGATCTCTACCAGCTTCAGGTAAATGTCCCCAGTCACCATCTTCTGTAGCAGGTCTTAAGTCTCTAACCAAACCTGGTAACATCTCTGACCACCATTTTCTGTAGAATATCTGCAGTCTCTCACAGTACTCTCTTGTATTACTTATACCGAACACTATGTGTAGCCCTTTGGTGATGTATGGGGTACACTGCATTAGTACTCATCCCAGGCTTATGATAAACACAGCCATTTGTATATGTGGAACAGGGGCATTCTTCCATCCTGCGGGATGAAGTCTACCTCAAGGATAGAGAATGGAGGTGGCACTTTGTTCTAAACCCAGCAAACCTCACTCTTCAGAAGAGCTGTATACAGTTACTTACGAGAGTGGCACTATGATGAGGAACGGCCCATTGATGCGCTTGTGTTCCATGAGGTATGTGATCAGAGCAATGGTCTGTATAGTTTTCCCGAGACCCATCTCATCAGCCAGGATCCCGTTCAGGTTGTTGTTATACAGCGACACGAGCCACTCCAGGCCTTTGACCTGACAATAGTAAGCACACTGGGTGAGAAGAAGCAATGATACAAAATGCTACAACAGGACTGTTTTTTTTCTCCTGAAGGTCTAATGCAGAGATAGTCACATGTGTATAATGGTCAGCATTGTTAATAAGAACGGTATAATGGCCTTGAAAATGTCTTGTTGAACCAGATAGCCATCTCTGGTTGCAAAACCAGAAAACTGTGTAATCCCAAAAAGTTGGGGAAGTCTCACAAAAGGCTGCAGCCCCAAAGGTTTTGAGATGCAATCCAAAAATGTGTAGCATTGCTGTGCCTGTCAATTGCAGGAGACCAGAGGCAGAAAACCTTTCACATATCTGGGGCCTATGATATTTAGGACTCTGACAGCCAGGTATCAATCCTGTAAGAATTGCATTACTGGATAGCAACCAGTGGAGTAGACATGTCCTTAGAATGCTAGTTGTAAACATTCTGCAAGCTGTATGGAAAGGAAAATAGTTTGAAGCAAACAAAAAACCCTAATAAAGGGTCTGCACAACTTTACTCACAATACAAGTCCATAATAATGCAAAAGCAGCTTAGGAGGAGGTCACCTGCAGATCAGATGCACCCGATCTGCAGGTGAAGGAATTCAGATGCAACTCAGAAGCATCTTAAACCAATTTTAAATGCAAGCTGAATGCATCTGAAAACATGCTCTATTTACCCATCTACAATAGACCCTAAACAGTAAACATGGCTTCCAAAAAAGGTTTCCCTGCCCCCCCCC